GTTTGTGTGGATTGGTAGTAAATATATTACTACTGATACCAGAATCTAATAGAAAAAAAACCATCGAAATATAAATCTTTAAAACTTCAGATTAAAAAGAAAAAACAAACCTTGTTTTATTGAGTTAATATTTTCAAAACTATTTGAAGTATAATTTGGAATATTATCTTGTTGCTCATCAATTTGATCTCCTTAAATAAATACAAAATAATTATTGATCGTTAATAAACATTAATTAATTAAAAATGTTACCCTGTATAGCATTTTTAGCTTGAAGCACAGGATTTTCGTATTGTGTTTGTCTATTCACATGATCAATGTAGTATGTACCATAAAGTGGATCATCAATCCTTTCCCAACCATAGGGTAGTTCATCATCAGAACAGTCTTCTAGTTGTTTCTTTTGAAACTTTGATAACCTCGGATCTAACCAGTGTGATGTACTAGAATTATGACTATAATAAATATTAAAACCCACTATTAATACAACAAAAACAAAATACTCCATGTATAGAAATATACATTTTTAATTTATAAAAATCTAGAATCTTATTCTTGTTGATAATTTGTTATTAATAATGAAGGTATATAAAATATAATTATTGTTAAGTGAGTATGTTGTTTAACTGAAAAGTTATACTTAACAGGTAATCATTTATAATTGTTAACTATTATGTTTCCATTTTTGTATAACTATGAACTAATGATTTAATGATAAAAACAGATTATAAAAATATGAAATTTATGAGTTTTAATTTTTATGAGTAAAAATGTATTTAGCAGTTAAAATAACTTACTCTATACATTTATGAAACAATGACAATTTAAATGATATCCAGATTGAAAAATATTTCAAAAAAGTACATGATATCTATCTTTGTTGTACATTTAACATTAATTTAAGTATACAAAAAATACTTACTCAATAAAATAAACTTCACCATTTTTGGTATAGGCTTTTTCCCATTTTGGTGGGAGTGGTCCTAAATCCAAAGTATCCGACAATGTTGAGTCTCTTGAATGATTATATGCATTATTTTTGGTACTAGGTCCGTTTAAGTATTCTTCTAAACAAATACAAGTTTAAATAAAAACATAAGCAATAGGTTAGGTTAATTTATTGTTTATGATCAAATAAAAAACTACAGTACAATTCAGTCAATAGATTAAAACAATAAAACTGATCAGTTCAATTATTATGGTAATATTATAAGTCTAGTCAAATACATTAAAATTTATAAGCTGAGATTTAAGACTAATAATAAATAGGTACTCAAAATAAAAAAATCCTTATATGAAAACAATGACAACTTGTTTCCATTTCGAAACTATACAAGCATATTTAGTCAAATAACATTAATAGTCCATTATATGTTAACATAATCCATATAACCTAGTAAACTGCTTGTAGGTATGTATCTGTCATTTTTTATTCAACTAATGTTTACTGTCATTTATTACATATCAAATAGTAACATCCAAAAACTATATTATTTATATAGTTATTGGTGATGCTAAATCAGTTTTAAATTCTTAAGTGTCTTTGCTCTTTTACTGATAGTTAAAAATTATTTTATTTACTAGTAAAAATAAAAGTAGGCATCTGTGGATCTAAAACTGTGTTTACATCATCATAACCAAATAAAATTAATTATATATTTACTTATTGTAAAATAAACAATTAGGTTGATAACAAAATATTTTACTAGGTACAAGCATTTGTAACAAACAAAGTGAAATGTTATACTTATAGAAAAAACAATTGTTTTTAAAAAAAAGCTTAAGTATCATATTATAATACCTACTTACAGTATTTATTCATAATGAAAAACAAATTTTATGCTTACTGTTATTCATAGGATGTTGAAGCTTATCTTGCATGTTATCCATATTCATGGTATTTAATTATAGGTATATTGTTTCATTTGATCATAAAAACATTCTATTTTTAAGCTAATAATGATTTATAATCATAGCATTTATAGAGCAATTCTTCAACAAATAATATGTAGTTGTATCCCGGAGTTCAGTGGTACATAATAATTATCTAAATAACAGAAAACATTTTTGAATAAAGCTCAAAGTATAAAAAAAAATGTAGGTACTTTTTAAAATAATAGTTTTAACCTTTTGAGTTATTAAATAATTGTACAGTTAAACTTCCATTTAAAGAAATTTTCTGTTTAACAAATTTCATTATACCTAATTAATTAATATTTTATGTTTATCTATCTAAAAATAATATATTTATATGGTCATTTTCACATTTATCTATACCTATATTTATATGTACCCCCTTAATTAAGCATGATTACTGTTGAACGTCTTGTATTTTTGACAGGTATTGAGTTTAGTAGAACATATTATTTATTTTTCTTATGAATAAGAACGTTAATTGCAAATTATCTTTTATACCTAGCTAATCATTAGAATGTTAACAAGATTTCATATTTACTGTAGGTACATATATCGAGTGTACAAATCCTCCTAAATAACATTAAATGGGTATCTAGTCGTCATGATTGAAACTAAATGTTATCGCAAAACAGTAAAAATCAAATAAATAGTTTTATAACTCTCCTGATGTACACGGATTTTGTCGCTAGGCAGTAGGCACGTCACTTTGACGTACAAAAGGACATTACCTAGTTTTGTTACGACACAGTAATTTTATCGCTGTACTAGAAAGGTAAAAATATAATTAAACACACTGTTCGTCACGTGAGTACGTGACACGAGTACGAACCAAAGTGCATCATTATTTGAGTGATGATCGCGATATTTCTACAAGTGCGGTACCTACCTACTTACTCATTTCTCGCGATTTCAGCATCTCTCCAAGCAGTCTAAGCCCGTTTACATGTAGCCACCGAAACGAAACGACAACAGTATCGCACCGACCTAATGTCGGACATGTGAGGGTCGCGTCCAACGGGTCGGGTAAACGAAAAACTGGCGGTTTGTGCGAGGGCAGAAAGGCCGTGTATGTGTGCGCGTGTGCGTGTGTGTGTGTCTGTGTGTGTACGTGTGTTTGTGTTTGCGTTTTTGTGTGTGTGAATGCGCGCGCGCAGGCGCGCGTGTGAGTGAAACAGGAAAATTTAATAGAAAAACGTTTGTAATAACGCACACGAACGACCGAAAAAAAAAATTACACAACGAAATAAATGTAAAAAGTACAACAGATCTTACAATTCACCGTGCACGGTTCGAAAATATTTAGGTTTCGATAACACGAGGGGAGTGCCTCCGTCGGGCAACACGGACTACATTAACAGTGGTCACCATGGTGAACGTGCCAGCAGGTGTCAGCAACCGCACAGCGCCAGCAGCTACGTCATGTCGTCATGGCATCCCCTGATCAGTAATCTGTTATCACTTATCAGTGATAAACATAAACGATTTTACTGGGCTCTTTAAAAACTTTTATTAGAGCCTTACTTCTACTCATGTCGACGACTTTATCTAAATAATAAATAGGGCATATCTAAATAATAAATAGGGCATATAACCATATTACCAATGATAGATAATTGGTTAAATATTTCACATTATTATATTGTAAGTTTTACTAAATTCCTTAGATCTAAGCTAAATTCTTCTAAATATATAAATTGTATACCTAATGAATCATATTAATGATAATATAGTATTAATTATTTATTTAATTATTTAATATCTAACTAATAATTCAAAGTCAAAAATGTGGATGTGTTTAAACTAATAATAATAATAAGTAAATAGTGAGTTATACAGTTATAGGTTAAAGGATTCTACTATATTAAAATATTATTTTGTTCAAAGTCAAAGATATGGATGTGTTTAACTAATAGTAATAATAAATAAAAAGGTAAACTTTAAAACTACATAACAATATGGACTTTAGTCATACTTAATGATAAAAATTTAATATTAATTGTAAAATATGTTATTATATTTTTATATTTTCCACCAATTGAATAACTTAATTTAACCAAATACCAAATTACTTAAACCCAAATTTAAATTTAAATCAAAATCATGTATGTTAATAAATTATTATTTTTAATTTTAAAATTAATAAATTATTTTACTAACTTAATTAGTTTAATGAGAGTTGCTTAAATTTCATTAACAATTAACTTGTACAGTTTTTTTTTTGTTAGATGTATTTTTATAGGTTTTTCTTTTCAACATCTGATCCTTACTAATAACAACAGTAGATTTGATGAATCAGAAAAAGCATCTGATATAGAATCTTCTATAATAATGCCTAATGGTTGTAGGTTTCATTTCTTATAATATAAACTAGTAAAGTTGTTATTTTAAATTCATCATCTAATTTAACCATTTGCTTAAGAATCAATTCAATAATTGAAAAAAGTGATAATAACTAGTACATTATATATTATTATGATTTGTTTGTCATTTAATGGAAGATGGAACCAATGTTTATATTTTTGTATACAACTATACTCAGACTTGATTAAAATACTTTTTGTAAAGTATTCCAAATAATTTTCATATATTTTTTTTTTAGATTTCAATAGCAAAAATATTTTATTTTTCATTCTGTGTTAATAATTGAACATTATTATAATCCCGATAATACACACCTATCTGGCTATCTATTAGTTAGAAATTATATTCAAATTAATATAATTAATAAGTAATAATTAGTAATATATAAGAGTATACCTATACAAGAAAAAAAGTATTCGGAATACTGTACTCAGAATACTTGTAAAAAGTATTCAAAATACTATATTGAATATTTTCAAAATAAAGTATTTAAAAGGTATTCAGAATACTGCCCAAGTCTGACTATACTTTAGACTTAACACTGGTAATGTTTAAAAATGTATAAACTTGGATAATAAAAAAGAAATTGCAGTATTGGGTTGCAATTTATGTAAAAATATTTTTTTAAAAGATGTGTATTTTATTGATATCAATATAATATGTTAAATACATTTTTCTTTGTTTTTTTCAGATCTAAAAAGTGTTTATGTGTTTTAACAGTTATGTCAAACATGAAAATATTACAGAATATCAATGTGAGAAACCATTATGTAATACAAAGTTGTTTGGTAATATCTTTAGTTACTGTAACAATTTGGATAACAAAAATTCTAAGAAAAAAAATAAGTCACAATGCTCAACAGTGTGTCAACGATAAAATAAGTTCAATTCCATTGGTTATTATAACAGGCTGTGACACAGGTCTTGGATATTCAATTGTTATGAGATATTTAAAAGGCCAACATTTGAATAAAAATCAAAATAACAGTAAAATATATAATATGCTATTTTCCAATAACAAAGCACTATTAATCCCAAATAAGATAGCAATAATTGCATTTTGTTTGAATCCTAATAGCCCAGGTGCTAAACGCTTAGTTCAACTTTCACTTGAAAATAGTAATATTCAATTGTTCGTTAGACAATTAAATTTAACTGATAATGATTCTATTAAAACTGGTGTCACTTTTGTTACTGATCTACTTCAACAGAATGTTGATATAATTGACGAACACAATGAAACAGTTGTTTTAAAATATGGTATGTGCAAAATATAAAAGGTTAAATAAACTAATTTAATAATCAAATCAATTTTAGAACTACATGCATTGGTTAACAACGCAGCGCGAATGGTGATGGCGGAATATGAATGGCAAACTTCAAAAATGATACAAGAGCAATTTGAAGTTAATATTTTAGGTCCAATTAAGTTAACTGCTATGTTATTGCCTGCATTTCGCAAAGATAAAAGTTATGACTTTATTGTATATTTTTTTATTCTATACTTGTTTCAATTAAATAGCAACATTTTAGTATAAACATGAATTATATAAACTACAGGTCGTGTGATAAATGTAATTAGTCATTGTTCATATCTCCCACTTCCCGGAGTATCTATTTATGGTGCTACAAAAGCAGCCGTGCGTGCATGGACACTTGGAACAAGAGTTGAACTTAATATTCATGGCATAAAAATGATCACATTTTCACCAGGTAACAGTACAATAATACATGATGAAATAAAAAAAATTAATGGAATAATTGTTTTATTTAAGGATCGTTTTATCTTCATTCCTCCATTATGAATGGTGAACAAAGAATGATTGATTATAAAGAAATGTGCAATAATATGAATAAGGAGCAATTAGCTTATTATGGTGCTTTTATGTATGCCTATCAAAATTACTTGGGTAATATTGATGTATATATTAGTCCTCCAGAAACAACCATTCCAAGCACTAATAAAATATACTGTCAAATGGATAATGCACTATGGGCAGTCCAACCCAAAGCTGAGTATAATGTACCTGAACCTTGGAGATATAGAACCTATTTTGCTGTAGCTTGGACTCTATCATCATTAGGCTTACATTATTTTAGAGATAAGGTTGTACGTCAATTTGTGGCTACGCCACAGTTTCATAATAATATTGCAAGTCAAGTTGAAAATGTCTAATAAACATGATTTTGAACTTATGAAATGTGCATATTTATATTGAATTTAGCAAAACATAGGAAAGTATAAATGTAAAATGTTTCAAAATAGTTCAGTGAGTCCAAATATGAAATTGTATTTTGTTTATTTATACCTATTTTTACATATTATATTGCTACATATGTATTATTGTATTTATTATAATAAAGTTCAATAACAGATTAGTAATAATAACTATCAAAAATTAAATTATTTAAATTTAAGAAAATAATGAATAATGTTGAATCATATTACATACATATTATGTACTATAAGAAAATAATTGCTCATTTTTTATTGCTCAGTTCTTGGTTACTTCATTGAGTAGTCGCAAACGTGCTCTCACGCAGGTATAAATAAAATGTAGCCTGTAGGTACTATAACTAGTCAATAATAAAAATATTCTAACTGTTGTAATTTTTATCATTGACATGAAACGTATTGTGTAATACTATAATGAACATTATAGAATAGTTACTTTTTGATTGTCTTCAGGATTTTCTGTGTATGTGCATTTTCTTTTTTCTTTTACATATTTATTCAATTTTAAAAATGTCAAAAACAACAATCAGATTATGGTGATATAAAAAACTATAATATATAAGAATTTGGTTCTGTGCCTTTAATTTTTATTGACAATATGTTTTTAATCCAATTCTATAAAAATGTAACTATTTTTGTTTACCATTATATAAGCAATAAACCCATATTATAATAAATGTTATATAAGTCCTAAACCCTACCGACTAATAATAAATATAGTTATGGTATATTTTGAATAGTAAAATAACTTATTAATTATAATTGTTATGTCATGTCTAAATATTGTAAACACTATTTATTTATTAATAAGTTTTTAGTTATTAAAACTAAATGTTTATTTTTCTTATGAATATTGCGATATTAAACATAATGATTGGACAATGGTCAATGGATTAAGAATTTGTTTCCTACATTTTTAGTATTTTTAATATTATTGGAAATCGATTTTAGATTACACTTGTTTTTTTGAGAATATGAATAAGTAATGACTTATAAGCATTATTTAGTAAATTCTGACACTGCATATAACATGTAAATTTTAAATTATTCAATTGAGTATATATACTCAATGATTGTATCAACATTCAGCGTTATAATTTTGAATTTAAGCAGTTCTATGTTCCATATTTTAAATAAAAGATACATGAAAACATATATAAATTTAAAAGAGATTTTAGTAAAGAATTAATAAAATATTGAAATTAAATATTCATTTATTTCAATTCAATGATAATAAAAAAATACAAATTATCACTTAATAATTATTAATATATATAATAATATAATACATCTTATACATCAAAAATTAATATAATGAATTAATGAATAGCTATTATTTTTATTACAATCATGACTAAATAAACAGGCTTGGTCGCTAGATATTTACTGCACGCATATTATATTTTTATACTTCCCCTTGACTTAGAAGAAAAATTTAAATCATTCGAAAAAATGTTATTCCCATTACTACATAGTATTACATAGTATTACATAGTATTACTAGGAATTTTACTGTTCCAGCCAAGTCACAAGTCTGGGGAAAATGCGCAGCGATAGGAAATATTGGTTTTTTTTCTTATTATATGTTCATGATCATGTCATCAATATCAGCTTTGCCAACTTGGTTTTTTATTGACTAGATCTATCGTCCACAATATAATGGTTTAAGTACAAACTTATTTGGTTAAAATTTGTATGTGAAAGTAATGTAATTTTGGGTACCTACCTATGTATTTAATCACAATTTACTGACCCGTTTAAAAATCTTTTCACATTTAACTCATCTATGTAATATTCCACCTACATTTTTAGTTACTGACTATCTAAATAAGAACAAATAACATTTCACACTTTTATATTTTATAATTAAATAATTTTCCAGTCAAGTCCCATTAACGGGTGGTTTCTTATTCCTATTTTCCTAGTATTTTTGTTCTGTCACCACATACATTTATTGTGCTAAATAGTACAGTTTGTACATATCTTAATAAAAAAATCGGCGGGGTATATTTTGTAAATTACCTAATGTATTGCCGAGTTTCATTACGCCTGCCCGAGCGTCGAGTGTTCGATTCGAATCGCGAATGAGTGGAGCTTTTAACTTTAATTGTACCTATGTCCTATATTGTATAGATTTAAATGTAATACCATTGAGTATATCAGTATAAATGTATATTGTAGGTATACAATATAATATACTCAACAGTATTACGGTAATACATATATCTACCATAATACCATATAATTATCACAAAATGTAGAAAACAATAATTTGTTTAGTGTTTGATACTGAGTTTGACGACGAATTTATATAGGTAGGTGTGAAAATTTAAGTGCCATAATGGATCATGCATGACGGACATTGACTGTGCACTGCTATTTCTATTCTCTCTCTGGCTGAATCTGGCACACAGACACACAGTGCACATTCACGCAAAAACGTTTTTAACATAATTATAAATGTGTTTTTGGGCTGGTTACAGATATTTTATTTTTCTAAACGATTTTTTCTAATGCTTTGTGTATCACTATAGAAACGAATAAAATGTAAAAACTACCTAATTCCCACTAGTTATACATATAGGTACACAATACAGTATATACAATTGATGGTTACTATTATTAATTAATAAGTAACCATATTTATGATTCATACATTTTCTTCGAAATAGATGTATCGAGTAACTTTTTACTTTATTTCTAAATATTACTTTCTACTTTAAACTACGATTTTTTTTTATGATTTATCAATTGAATAGCCCATTTAAAAATATAGAGAATAATATTATACATAATATTATATTCTAGTGTAAAATAATATGTTATTTTGTATAAATATCGATTAAAAAAAAAAAATTTCACATAGATATTCATTTAAAATTATAAAAAATTATTATCATCTATATAATTTTGTAATTGGTCATATTGATATAGGTACATGGTCTTTTTTTTTTTAAAGACATTCCTTTCCAATCTGTACGAGTACGACTACTTATTGGCACAATGAGTAAATGTGAGAAAAGGAATACAAGGTGTAAGACAATTAATTATTTAATCCGCACAGAGAAAAATAAAAAGTTTACCAACACGGACGTAAAACATGAAATATTTTGTGGAAAGCAGCCCACTCATTAGCTAAACTTTCTTCATTAACCTTCTTGGGGAGTTACCGGGAATTGTTGGAGTAGCGAGATTTCTAGCAAGTGGATTGGGATTTCCTATAATAATATCATTATTATCATTGCCAATAATTAATCATTGCATTTATATTTTAATCCATCGAATGGTTGTCTTGTATGATTCTAGTGACCTATTCGATTAACTGGTAGGCACAAGGCACCTACACACAACACCAGGAGCGGACTGGCCCGGTCCGCTGGTCAGCGATCGCGGACTGGCCTGTCGGCCGTAATATATAATTTTGCCCTGCATTATTTATAAAAATAAAATATAAAATCAGACAGAAATTATAATAATAATAATAATATGACGGAATTCTAAACACTGGATAATACACAATGCTTCTGCTGAAAATTAATTCACATTTATTTTTGTTATTGGCTTATTCTATTTTCGTATCGTTCCGATTAAATCACTATACGGGCACAAAATAGTGCCATATTATTATTATACATATATTTGATGACGGAAGAACATAATAATATTATATCATGTATATTATACCCATTATCCATTGTTTATTTTAATTTTAAATACAAATATGAAATGTTATTTAAGGGGCCTGGTCGCGATTTTTCAAATTTTCCGCAATTCTATAAAATTTGAAAATTAAATTTTATATTTTAGTTGCCACCTCAATTATAAGACTTTTCCACTAATCTACTACCCAATACCTATTTAGGGGGGGGGGGGTTGATAGGGTGTATTATATCGGTCAAAACACAGTTTACAAGAAAAACTCTCACACCTCGTAGATTGGTCCGATTTCCGTAATTTTTTTTGTGAGATAGAAGAATATTTTTTACAGGGCGCATTGGACTTTGATTTTTGATTACGTTGCTAAAAATAAATAATAATACAAAAACTAAAAAGTTGTAAAAATGGATTAAATTCAAACTTGTAATATAAGATTTCGAAAAATAATTTTGAAAATCCAAGTCCAATGCGCCCTGCAAAACGTCTTCCTCTATTTAATAAAAAAAAAATTACGGAAATCGGACCAATCTACAAGGCGTGAGAGTTTTTCCTGTAAGGCATGTTTTTGAGCAAAAAACCAGGTCGCGACCAGGCCCCTTAATTCGAATTAAAAATGAGGCAACAGTTTTGAACGGCGTTTATTTTACATCCAATAGGCAGAACAACAACATCATTTATGATCTATCAGATAAGAAATATTTCATTTTAATAACTTGTAGACGGTATTATAGTAGTTAGTAGTTGATTTGAATATTATCGTTATAGTTTGGCAATGTCATTGGTTATTTTAAAAGGTATATACGCAGTCTTGTAAAGTACTTGGGTAAAAGTATTTGAGTAAAAATATTCAAATACTTTTTAAGCACTCAATTACGTATTCTAAATACATTTAAAAAAAGTACTTGGGCACAGTATTTGAATACTTTTTTGAAAGTATCTGTATTTAAAATCAAATGCTATTCTAAATACTTTTTTCGTTTTACTTTATTAACAGGGACGTTAAATTTAATAAAATCATACAAATTTGAAATTGTACAACATTTTTATTTATATACTAAATATCCATTTAATATTGAATATTTGAATGTACCTATGTACTATGTAGTCCTTCGATTTCCCAATAAAATTGGAAATACCTTTACTCGAATTAGGTATATAATATAAAACATAACGATAGTCGATAGTTAATATATTATATTATATTTTTTAATATTTAAAAACTAGTTAATGTTATATAAAAAATTAATTCAGTTTGCTAAATATGATTCTATTCATCTATATAA